CTGAGGCAATATCACTCCGGAAGTAGATTGCCCAGTCTTCCTTCTGAGGAGTGGATAGTGGGTTTGAACCTCCAGCCTTCTGGTTAGCAGTCAAGTGCCTTAGGCACTATGCTACCAGAGCTCCCCTTAGGAGTAGCCCATCTTAAATGGGGGACACAGAGCCAGTGTAAGGGGGGAGGGCGTCTGAAGTTGTCTGTACAGAGCACCTGCCTGCACAAGTCCTCTCCAGCCTGTTGGGAGCACCTGCTGGGCCGGGCCTGGTTCTGGGGCTGCCACCTGAGCCATGGTTCCCATGGAGCATGTTGTGTGGGGTGGGACTGATCAGAATAAGTATTTTTTGCTGTTGTCAGAGGGGTCACATGTGAGCAGAATAAAGGAGCCAGAGAAGGAAGTGGGCAGGGGTGCCACCTGGATAGAATGTGGTGACGAGGCGCAGGGAGGGACGGATGGAGCAGAGATGCAGCACTCTGGTCGGGGAATGGTGCAAAGGCCCGTTTGGAAAATGTGCTTGAAACTGTCCATGGGAAACAAGCTGAACAGTGTGTGGATGGCCCCCGTGGCCAGGCCTGGGCAGTTACATGCCGTTCTTGTCAGGAACCAGGACTGTCCACCTGGCCCAGAGGGCAGAGTCCCCAGAGACACCTCCGGAGCAGGCAGGCGGCAGGAGCAGGCGCATGCCGAGGACAGATGCTCCTGGTCTCTGAGGAGCAGCACACTGGGCTTCTGAGGGGGCTTGTCACCTGGCACTGTCACTTTCAGAGCTAGGTGACAAGGACATCGGCTCTTGGCTAGGAACCTTGGAAGTGGATTGATCTTTTCAAGGACAGTGAGCCAGCTTAGCACTGGCTCTGCCCCTGCCCTCTGCTATTGCCCAGGGGCAGGGCCGGAGCCCCTCTGGAGGGACTGTTAGCCAGAACCTCTGCAGTTTTCTCCTGCCCAGTGCCTCACATTGGGTCAAAACCAGCGAGGATGACAGAAACAGGACCACGAGGAAAAGGGTGATGAAAATAGACGACGGCAGGCTAAGACACTGGGATTACCAGACGTGGACTTAAAGTTTTAACTGTGATTAATAAGGAAATGGACGGGATGGAGGATTTCACTGAGTATTTCATGAGTATTCTAAAGCAGAAACATGGTAACTGGAAGGAAACTCCAGTTGGTGGGCTCCACAGCCGACTAGACACAGCTGGAGAGAGGATTTGTGAGCTGGAAGATAGGTCAGTGGGAAGTCGCCCTGCACGCACAGGGCACAGCCGTGCTGCGGTGGCTGACCTGCCTTCCCTGAGACCCTCAGCCCCACCCACCCCTCTGTGGACCCCCAGCTCTGGGCGGGGAGTGGGTGCTGCCGACGTGGACCCCCAGCTCTGGGCGGGGAGTGGGTGCTGCCTGTTGGATGGCTTTGGAATGAGCAGTCTGGGGAACCCGTCTTGTGGGAAGCATTTGGGAGTCTGTTTTCCCGTCTTGTGGGAAGCATGACTCGCACGTTGGGAGTCTGTTTTCCTGCCCAATGAGTAGTTTGTGGCCCTGGGTCCGTCTGCTGTTGCCGGTTCACCATGAGGACCTGTGCTCCTGTGTCCCCTGCAGCCTCAGGCCAAGGGCATGGTCGCCTCAGCGTGGGCCTCAGGAGGTGCCGTTTCACGTGCTGCTCTCCTGGGGGCAGAGTGCTGTGAGCAGCGTCAGGAGGCAGACCCCTGGGCCTGCCCGTGATGGGCAGAGGGTGTGAGGCCTGGCTCTTGCCCAGCCTCGTGCCATGGGTTCAGATGCCGACTGTCCTGAGCGAGGGACACAGACGTGGTGGGGACACAGTGCTGGATCTGCTGAACAGACGGACTGTGGCGGGTTTCTGATCCTTGCAGCTCAGATGCTGCTTGTTGGGAGGAATTTTCCATCCTGGTTAATGGTTTCTGGAGCCAGGTCACATGCCAGGGCCAGGTGCCGAGGTGGTAGCCGCTCACCTGCTCGGGTCCCCTGACGTGGATTCAAGCAAGGTCACCACAGAGACACTGCTCCTTTACCTGGAGGTAAGGAGAGAAGACCCTTTGTCCCCCAGAGTCCCTCTGGGGGGGTCAGTGAGCCTCTCCCGAAGGCAGAGCCAGTGGCCCTGTGGGTGTGGGCCGCAGCAGTCCCTGGCCATCGGGCTTCTGCCCAGCTCCAGGCCCAGAGGCCGTCGGGTGCTACGGTGACTCCTGTGTTGCAGGGAGGCAGGTGGGCGCTTCTCTGGAGGGTCAGCAGGGGGGGTGGGGGGGCAGGAGCAGGTCCGGGCCCAGCTGTGTCTGCTGCGACATCGCGAGTGCCCACCACACCCCCCGCTCTGCTTTGCAGGGGGGCCGCTCACAGGGCTGGGGCTGGGGTTGAGGCCACAGCCTCTGAATGAGCTCGGGAGCAGAGACGGCAGCAGTGAGGACTGTGGGAGAGCGGCCTTGGCATGACCACAGTGACGGGACAGGGCAGAGGACACCTCCCTGAAGCCGAGAGACAACAGCCAGCTCTCAGGGAGTGGGGGCCCTGGCAGCCCGTGTGAGCCCTGGGCTTGTCTGAAGGACAGTAAGGAACTGGTGACAGATTGTGAGCCAGGGACAACATGACTGGATGGTGGCTGCAGAGCCGGAGAGGAGGGCAGACCCAGAATGGGTGGGGTGGGGCTGGGGGAGTGCAGGGATGTTTCTGGGAACCCGGCGCAGCCCTGGGCTCCCCTTGACACCAAGCTTCCCAGCCACTTTGTATCAGGTGCTAATTTGGTACATACACTGGAGGCAGGTTTGGTGTCAGTCCATACCTGTTGGTCAGTCTGTGATGCTGGTGGCTCGGGTGTGGCTGTGATGTTGGGAGCTGTGTGGCCAGTGTCCACGTCCATCAGGGCCCCATGGAGGCAGGCGGCTGTGATGCTGGGAGCCGTGTGGCCAGTGTCCACGTCCATCAGGGCCCC